GAGGGAGAGAGGGTAGGTTGCATGTGAGAGAGAGAGAGAGAGAGAGAGAGAGAGGGAGAAGGTTGAGGCAGATAGAGAGATAAAGAGAAGCAGGAGGGGAGGGAAGGAGAAAGAGCGAGAGACAGAGAGGAGGGATAGAGAGAAGGGGGAGGAGAGAGAGATTACAGCATGGAGATACTAACCGCCATGACAAACTATTCAGCTGAACAATGGATTAACTGAAATATCCTATGTATAACAATGACGTAGTGGCACGTCCAGCTCCATGGCAGGCTGTATAGATAGACGCGTGCATATCAGTAGCGTGCAAGCAAGCAATCAATGCAAACATACACGTCAATCTGCAGAGCATGCAAGCTTGCATGCAACACAAGCAATGCAACCATACGTGTAAGCGTGCGTAGCATGCTAGACGGAACCATGGACAGCCAAACGTAGCATGCGGGGAGAGGGCAACACATGTCATGCAACGGTGACACGGTGACAGCTGGTGACACGGTGGGTGACACGGTGACACGGTGACACGGTGACAGAACCACTACTGTGACCCGCTGGCATTAGTTTGGTTAATCATTTCGTAATATAAACAATAATTCGCTTTTTTAGTTTGTGTGTGTGTGTGTTAGTTTTTACATAACGACTACACATGTGATAATATTCCTCGTCATCATCTAATTAATTATGTGCTACTAAGTGTGAATTAGTTGTATTGCGTTTTCCACGCAACGATTTATATTCTAGAATTTGCAATCTACGAAGGTAACAAACTTTTCCATACGACCTCCGCATCACACGTAGCTATATTTTATGCGCTATCTATGATCACACGCATAATGCTCTAACCAACAGCTTTCTGATGTGTTCCTCTCTGTCTGCAAGCGCGCTCTTCAGCACGCCGATGGTGGCGACATCTTGCGGTAGCGACTCTCTGTGCTCGTATCGGTGTTTTGCTTCTGCTAGCCTGTAAGTGTCGAACAACAGCGAGGGGGCCCCGTCACTCGTTGGTACTGCTGCTGCTGCTACTGCTACTACTGCTGCTGCTACTGCTACTACTGATAGTACCGCTACTGCTACTTCTGCTACTGCTGTTGCTGCTGCTGCTG